TGTGTGTGTGTGTGTGTGTGTGTGTGTGTGTGTGTGTGTGTGTGTGTTTGTGAGTTGGAAGAGTTTGAATTACTAAGTCACTCTCATTGCTTGTAATGGACTCTGTCTAATAAGCTGCTTATGTCTTCTCAATTTAATTTCGATAAGTCGTGTGTTTCAAAAGACATATCCATTTCTTGTAGATTTTTCCAATTTTCTAGAATGTAGGTTTTCACACTATGCCGTGATGATCCTCTGAATCTTACTGGTGTCTATCTCTAGGTTAGTTTGGCTAATGAGGCTATGTCAGAGTTGTCTTTTCAAAGAGCCAACTTTCTCATTGGTTATTATTATTTAATAAAAACATTGGTTATTATTATTATTAACGATTATTTCCATTTTGTTAGCCTCTATCCTGATCTTAGTATTTCTATCTATTGATTTTTGGATTTGACACGTTTCCTTTTTTCCTAAACCCTTGAAACACCTTTAGGTTACTGATTTAGGCGTGCGCGTGCTCTCCCTCCCCCTCCCCCTCCCCCTCCGCCCCCTGCATTTGTAGCTGTACACCTACATCTTAGAAACACTCTGATTAACAGTCCTTGGGTCCTGATACTTTGTTTCTGTTTTCATTAAATTCTAGGAATTTTTGATTTCCCTGCTGACTTCAATGGCCCGTCTTATCGTCCAGTGGCGTGTTGTTTATCCTCCTTTGTGTTTTGAGGATCTTTCTCACTGCTGATCTTCAGCTTTGGTCCAGCGTGACCAGGTGTACAATGTTAGAAATAGTTAAGTTTATGGTGTTAAGACTTGCTGTGGTCCTGAGATGCGGTCCATTTTGGAGAAAGTCCATAGGCTGCCGCTGTGACCTTGCTTCCTGCACCGTTAGAATGGGATCATCTTAGGTGTCCCTTTAGACCATTTGGTCTGCATTACCTAACTCTGATATATTTTTGTGAGTTCCGGTGTGGGTGGCCTGTCGCTTGGTGAGAATAGAGACAGGGTCTCCGGTTACTGTGTTTAAGTCTGTGTTTTTAGACCCCGTGGTGTTCATTGATGAAATGGGATGCATCGTCATCTCTTACTCTCAGACTGAAGTCTGCGTTGTCAGATGTCTAAATAGCAGTACCGACCTTCCGATAGCCTAGACCGTCTTTTCGTCCCTCTCACCTCAGGCTGTTTGCCTTTGCTGGTGAGATGTGTTTCTTGTAGGCAGCAAGCAGATGGCTCCTGCTGTTTAATCCATCTTGTGTCTTCTGCTTTGACAATTGCAGCTGTTAACCTTCAGAGTTACGTTGGAAGGTGTCTGTGCCTTCCTGCCACTTCTGAGTTGTTTAACGTTTGCCTGATCCCTGTCTGTTCCCTTGCTGATTTAGTACATACGTCATTCTTCACCCTAGCCTCACGAATGTCTTGTCTTTATCTTGGCTACGTAGAATGCCTTCAGGAATCATCTGTACTGCCGGCTTACTGATTATGAATTCCTTTAGTGTGTGTTTATAAGGAAAACTCTTCTTTCTCCTTCAGCTATGGAGGGTAGTCTTGCCGGTATAATAATCTGGATTGCCAAGCTAATGGTTCTCAGAGCTTGAGATACATTGCTGAATGCTCCTCTGGCTTTTAGGATTTCTCTTGAGTAGACTGATGTTTTCTGATAGGTTTCCTCTGTCTGTGACTTGATTTCCTTACGCAAGCATCAGTGTTATTCTGCTGCTCTGTTCAGTGTCTAAGATGTGTGGGGTTCTTTTCTCATCTTGCCTCTTCTATCCAGATGTCCATTTTCTTCCCCTTGCTCTGGGGAACTTTGCCCGTTGCTTTTACTAAATGTGTTTTCTGTGTCTTTATCTTGCACTTCTCCGTTTCCTATGCTGGAATGAGCATCCTTCGGGTAACTAGAGCAGCTGGTCTCTGCTTGGGTACCTCTGTCAGGCCTTCCCCTTTTATCTTCTCCTCTGCACTGGAGAATGAGGAAATCATTAAGATAACTAAGAAATCCAAATACAACAAAGACCTACTTGAGCAGCAGCTGTGGAATTAGCCTTCCTCTGACACAGGCCATTTCTGACCAGGCATGGGCCATATCTCACTGTGAAAGACAGATGGAGCCTCCTGAGATACCTGGGTGCACCCACTGTGTGAGACCTAGGGTACCAGCTGGGGTGTCTTAGTTAGTGTTTTACTGCTATGAACAGACACCATGACCAAGGCAACTCTTATAAAGGACACCATTTAATTGGGCCTGGCTTACAGGGTCACAGGTTCAGTCCATTATAATTTTGGGAGCATGACAGCTTCCAGATAGACGGCCTGGAGGCACTTAGGATTTCTACCTCTTGTTCCTGAGACAGCTAGGAGAAGACTGACTTGCAGGAAGCTGGGAGGAGGGTCTCAAAGCCTACCCCGTTCCTCCAAAATTCGAGTTACAGTGCCACTCCCTGGGCCAAACATATTCAAACTATCACATGGGGTCTCTTCTGTATGTTGAGGACAAAGTGTGAGAAGCTATTCAGCCGTCCACCTCTGTCCAATAAAGAAATAGGTCCAGGGGACCACCACAGCTCCCCACCACCTCTTCTGGATGCTTTCAAAAAAACTGAATTTTTAAAATAATGGCAAGTTATAAATGGGACTTTAAAAGTTGCAGGAGAGTGACAGGCTTTCCTCTTTAAAATCCCTCTGCTTCCTTACTTGAAAAGGTTCTCTTTCCTCAAAAGACCGTATTGTGTAATTGTAATCCTTGTTTCTAAGTCTGTTCTTGACAGTTTTCCCATTCTCAGTAAAATTGTTTGACCGAAAATGTCAGCCCATAACAACAAAGCAGTTCACTAGATATTTTATTAACTGTTTGAAGACTCAGCGGAGACCCGGGCTGGGGTACAAAGCACCAAGGCTGGCCTTCAAAGGTTCTCGGAAGATGTGGCTCCCTCCCACTTCTAGAGAGATGGCCACTTCCTCCAGAGCTGCCATTCTCTGTGCAAGTTTTGCTTTGTTTTTCAAGAGAATCTCTTGTAGTCCTGAGCTGACTTTGAGTTTTGATCCTCCTGTTTCTGCCCCCAGATTGCTGGGATTAGAGGCGCATGCCACCAGAGTGCCGGAGGCACAAGCCAGGGCTTCAAACTGAGCTACGTCCCCAGCCTGCTCTTATTTTTATTTTTGTAAATTATTCAAGGTACCACGGAGTCGTTAAGTACTTGATTAAGTAGCATTCTGCATCCCAGGACGGATCCAATGGGATGGATGTCTGGGAAAGGAAATATCAAACACTTAAGACTGTAAGGGGTGCTCTTAGTCATCCCTCCTGGTGTTCCTGTGGTGGGTTGTCCTAAAGAAGGGAAGGAGACAAAGAGATAGACGTCTGATTGAGCTGTGTGTCAGTCAGGCTTCATTTACCTGCTTGGAAGTGGCTGCGTTAGTCCCTCAGTGGGCGAATGCCAGAGCTCAGGATGCTCTGAGGTCAAAGTCCATGGCTGTTTAGCTTTAAGACCAGGGAGGACGGTTGGTCAGGAAGTCTGTCAAGCAGAAATTCCCCCCGCATCAGCACTGTGTACTCGGTTCACAGGGTGAAAGCCGACGGTCCCTGTAATCACACTTTAGCACATTGGGGCCGATGTGAGCTAGACACGGCCCGGTGTGGCCAGGCGTGACCCGCCCAGGGTGCCCAGCGCTGGTGTCTTCTGTTAAATTCTAACGTGTGACCATCTGTTAAGCAGAGCCTGCCTTGTGAAAACATGGCACTCAGCCCAGGGCCATGTTTGCCCTTCAGTGTATTAAGTATTGGTGAGCTTGTTGGTTTTGAGTTTCGAATAACAATTCAAACATAGATATCTTTGTGCCTCTGCGGTCCCTGGCAGGACTTTGGGACACGTCCCTTCTGAAGTCCGTAGATTGCATGGCTGTGACAAGCCTCCGGTGGTAGCGATGCTTGTGAGACTCAGGAGTCAGTGCTAGAGATGTCACCTGGGTCCAGCCTCTCGGACTCCCAGGGTTTTGACCTTAGGTTGTGCCTTCAGGGCTTCACTCCCAGGATTTCTCGTAAGGACCACGAGAACAATGGTGTTTCAACCACTTCCTCCTCTCTCCTTTCAGGTATTTTAATGAGATGTCTGCGCAAGGACTAAGACCTCGCACTGTGTCCAGCCCAATCCCTTACTCGCCTTCCCCCAGTTCGAGCAGGCCTATATCTCCCGGTGAGTGCGTCTACAGGCTATCATGGTGTGACTGGTTCCCAGCTGTTTAGTGTGCATGTGCATGTGTGTGGCAGTATGTGTGTGTCTGTGTATGTGTGGCTACGCGTGTGTGCGCGCGCGTGCATGTGTGTGCGCGCTCGTACGCACGTAGCTGTATATGGGGCTGTGTGTGATTTTTGTCGAGGGGTTGCAGGGGGGTCGTGTATGGTTGTGTGTGGCTGAGGCTGTTGGGGCTGTGTGTGTGTGTGTGTTTCTCTGGTTGTGTCTGTGTGTGGCCCTGAGATTTGAACCCAGGGCCCACACAGATTTAGCTAAATGCTCCCTACTGATTTTTTAGCTAGTTTTTCAAGTATGTTTAGTCAGGGGCTCTGGTTGCGTTCCCTTCTATTCTGTGCTTTTTAAAATCTAAGTCACCGTCGGTACTGAGTGTTGGCTGAAGACCTTAAGCACAAGGACTCTGATTTATTTTTAAATTATTGTTTTATTATTTAATATTTTTCTTTACTTTTATCTCTTTTAACTTTTATTTTCGAGAATCTCACATTACCTGCCCCTCTCTTCCTCGATGTTCACTGAGCCTTGGGTACAGATGATTATAATTATTATTACCTTCAATTTGACTTCGAACCCCCTTTCTAGAAGATTCTGTGTGTGACTAGTCTCCGAGGATGGGCACGGTTCCTGGGTTGATTTCCAGGATGTCTTCCTTTGCATCTATTATGGGTTTCTTTGCTTCATTCCAGCTGTCTTAATCTCACTTTTGTTCTCCATAATAATCAGGGCACCATTTTCTTCCCCTGTGAAATAGAAGCAGTAATCATTCATGGGTTACTAGCTCTGGGTCACTGGGCCAAGAAGAGGCCAGGCCGAGCTTCTTTATGCAAAACCAGTGTTCCCTGCCCCTAGCACGAGCCGCTTCCTGATCCTCGCAGTGGTTTGTGAGCCAAGCCTCGCTGGCCTGGTAGGTTGCTTGTGCAAGCAAGACAGCTAGCTTCTTCCACTGCTGCCTTTGTTATCTGGGGCCTTTCCTTTCATGCCTATCTTTTTCACCTGACCCCAAAATACTCCTCAGTGGCCCAGGCTCAGCACAAGGCAGTGCTTGGGGCTCCTGTGTAGGTGGTCGAGTACGTGACCCACCCTGAGGGACCGAGGAGGAAGTGGAACGGAGGCTTGAGGCAGGAGTGGTGGGGGAGAATGAGAAGGCTTGCATCTGGAGGCTTTTGTTTCTGTGCCTGCGGATGAACAAGCTGCAGAGAGACTTTGTGCCCCCCCCCCCCCTTCAAGCTCTCCTTTCACCTTCTGACCTCTTGGTGTGAGAGGAAGGTTTAAGTATGAGCGGGAGGGGTATTGTTTAACAGGTAGGAATGCCAGGTCATGTTGAGTGCTACTCTATACCTTATTTAATCTGTTTAACAGTAACGAAATTTCTAGAGGAGTATCATTCCCAAGGGATCAGAAAAAAAATACTGCAGTCAGAGTGGAGGTTTCACAACAGGAAGGGTATGATGGAGAGTCAGGAGCCTAGGGTACCAAAGCTAGGACCGTGTGTGACCAGTAAAAGCCACCTATTTATCTGCACTGTGATGTTCCTGTCACAGTATTGCCTAGTGGTATTGTCTCCTAGCTGTTTAGGGACACTTGTTATCTCACATTGAAATTCCTGGTGGGACACATTTCTTAAAAGGTATCCCTGTCCTTAAGCCGCGACAGATGGGGTCTGTTTAGCAGCCAGTGTGTGCAGATTTCCAGTTCCAAGAAAGTTCACTGTTGTTTATTCTGTCTTTCTATCCGTGTGTGTGTGTGTGTGTGTGTGTGTGTGTGTGTGTGTGTGTATTTCCCCCGCCCTGGGATAAAGGGTGAGATGCATGGTTGTTGCATTATTTAATACCGGCCTCTAGCTCAAGCAGACTGTCTAACCTGCAGCGGCTCTACCTAGCCCAGCCACCATGTTTCTTGGCCTGAGTCCATGTATGCACTGCAGCTAGAACTGGCCCGCCAGAAACACCAGCTCTGCCACCCACTAGATGCCAGCGTGAGAGATGGCTCTGCCAATCTTCCACGCTGTCTCTGCAAGGCAGGGCATTGCCCAGACCATTCTGCCATCCATGGGGACCCAGTAAGAGAATGAGATTCTAATTCTTATAGATTAATCAAAGGCTTATATATTTGGTAATGATCAGTAACAAGATACCCGTACAATCAGAAGTGTAACCCAATACCCAACCTAGATATACCAACTACCTTTGACTGCTACAGACACGCGAACATACACCTCCATCTCCTCTCTGTCTCCTCTTCTATCTCCTAGCTCCTCCTCTTCCTTTTTCCTCCTCTCCTCCTTACTCCTCCTCTTCCTCTCCTAACTCCTCCCACCTTAGCTCCTCCTACAGTGCTAATTAAGATTTTAAGGAAGAACAAAAATTAAGAAGACCACCAAGATTATAGAAGATGGTAATCAATAGGGCCTGGGGAAGAGGGTTATAGAAAACACACTAATAACTCATTTAGTCTGCAGTAGTCTTCCGAGGATGCTACAGCAGTCCTGTTTGCTAACGGTGGGCTCTGTAGCACATGAAATTAAATAATTTATCGTGTGGCTCTGAATCACAATCAGAGATTGTTGCCACTGGCTACCCCTGAGCACCGTTCCCCTGATTGATTTGGCTTAGGGTTAGAGTCATAGGACTTGATGGTTACTGCTGAGAATTGTTGGCCTAGAGCATCACAAGGACTGTGTGGCAATAGAGATTGGAAGATTTCTTGGTGACTTAATTTAAAAAAAAAAATTTTTTTAAGAAAAAAATTAATCTAGTAAATAGGCTGGCATTTTTTTGTTTCATGAAAGTATTATTTTATGTTTGTATGTGTATGAATGCATTGCATGTATATATGTATGTGTGTCATATGTTGGGTCCCCTGGAACTATGCTATGAGCCACCGTGTGAGTGCTGGGACTCAAGTCTTACATGAGCAATGAATGCTTCGTGAGCCATCTCTCTAGCCCCAAAAGCAGTCTCTTGAACTCTTTTTAAAACTAAGGCGTCATTTTCTTCTATAATGCATCTTGAGTTTTCAGGAGTGGGATGTGTGTGTTATTATTCCTTTGCTTTTCTGTTTAGTTTTTGCTTGGTGGTGGGGTTCAGAGCCAGACCTTGTGCCTGTAGACCGGCCCCCCCCCCCCCCGCCCCAAAGCCCTTTCACGTTCCTCAGAAGTAGAGTTAGGGTTCCCACTCCTGGGCTGTTACTTTGAAGACAAGCTCTCCGATCTCAGCTAATCAATAACCAGTAAGTTAAATGACCACTTCGGTTTCAGAGGCTGGCTTTTCGAGGCAGAGCCCTGCTTTGTAAACTCAAGTCAAAAAAAAAAAAAAATCTATTGGAAATGGGAAATGTATCGTGCAAAAAGCACCACTGACATAATTAAGCCAAGAGAGAAGTCTTCAACATTTGGTGTTGAGGCCACAGGAAGGTTCTTGGTGTATTTTTATGGACGCGGACAGTGAAGCTTCTTGTTCCCGTATAATTCAATGCAGCAATAAATGGTTAATCCGGCTTGGCCACTAGGCCACCTGCAGGTCCTCAAAAGAAAGTGGTGACTCTGGTCCCTGTCCAAGCCTTTTTCTATTAGTTTTTTTTGTTGTTGTTGTTGTTTTGGTTTTTTTTTTTTTTTTTTTTTTTTTTTTACTTGAGCCACTTACTTGAGGCTCTGTATTAGTTAACACTGTGACCAAACTCATGACAGGAGGCCGCCTAGGGAAAGGGTAGAGAGTGGGTGGGCTACAGCCTGTCTTGTCAGAGAAAAACTTGGAGATGACAAGAGCTTGAGGCAGCTGCTCACAATGTATCCACCAGAAGTGAGGCCGAGCTGTGAAACCTCAGGTCAGATCCCCTCTGATTACTCACTTCTGAGACCCACCCTACCTCTTAGGGGGTCCCACGGCTTCCTCAAACAGCGCCATCTGCTGGAGACTACGGTTCAAGCACGTGTGCCTGTAGTCGTGATGCTGAGGTGCACACTGCACACTGAAGCCACAGCCAGAGCCAACCTGCCCTTGAGGGTTTTCTAATTAGGTGCTAGGAGTCCAAGGTGTACAGCGCTGGATTCGTGCAGTGTGTTACCCAGACCAGTACAACCTTCACGTCTGAATATTTCAAGTATGAGTAATCGGACCCCACCCCAGGCCTATCTAATAGGAATCTATGGTGTGTATGCACTGTGCGTGTCTGCATGTGTGCATGCGTGTGTGGTGTGTGTGTGTGTGTGTAGGATGTACATGTGTGGGCGGACACACATGTACTTGGAAACCAGAGGACAGCCTCAAGCATTGTTTCTCAGGAGTGAGCCGTCCATCTTGTGTTTTGAATCAGTGTCTTCAATTGCCCCGAGGTTTGCCAGTTCAGCTAGGCTTACTGACGAACCAAGTCCCAGGGGTCCTCCCTGGCATGTTCTATGGTCGATGGCATACATCCTCACGCATGTGCTGGGAGAACTTCGCTGAGTGAACCGTCTCCTCATCCCTGATAAGTGTTACTGCAAAGCACCGTAGAAATATGAGGCCAGCTTCCTGCATGGAGCCTGCCAAAACATGACAGTGGCCAGAGGGTTGATGGCCCTTAAATCTGGGCTCCTTTCAGAGAACCTTGGCACGGGTGGGGCTTTGGTATCCTGTATCAAATCAGGCTGTACAGTTTGCATGCACACACAGACACCTGTGCACACAGACACGTGCGTACACATAGACACATGCGTGCCCACACAGCAGTTAGGTTGTTTACACACTGTGGGTTTTACCCACTGTTGAACACAAATATTCTTTTTCAACCCTATAGTCCACTTGATGCTTGTGTCTGGTGTAACTTAAAAGGGTTCTGTTCGTTTGTTTGTTTGCCTGTGGATTTGCCGTTTTCTCCACACCATTCACTGAGGAGAGACCGTTCTTGTCTGTCCTCATCTCTCGTCAGCTGTGTTGAAGGGTCATTCGATGGAATAAGACCGGGTTCATTTCTGAGCTTCCTGGTTTGCTTTGCTTTTTAGCCGCCCTCCCCTCCCCTAGTGCTTGATGGTTTTTTTGTTTTTTGTTTTTTGTTTTTGTGCCCTGTGCTATCCAGCATGCCACTGAGTGGGCCCACCCCTCTGCTCGTCTGTTTTTATTTGTGTGCGTACCCCTGAGACGCTCTGCCTTTGGAATCTTCCTAGCTGGTGGAAGATTCCAGACGGTCAGGCTACAAACAATACCGAACCTTGCCACGCTCTTCTCTTTCAGGTCTTTCGTATGCAAGTCACACGGTTGGTTTCACGCCGCCAACGTCGTTGACTCGAGCTGGAATGTCCTACTACAACTCTCCCGGCCTCCACGTTCAGCACATGGGGGCCTCCCATGGCATCACGGTAAGTGTCCTCATCGGGGGCCGGCAGCAGCTCACTTCCGACTCGATACTAGCCGGTCTTATGGGGGAGCTAAGGACTGTTGCTACTAGCCGTTTGCCGCCTTGTGTCTTGGGTCCCCTCTCCTAGCTATGGATTGTTCCCGTGAGTTTAACTTGAAGTTCTGGTATTGAAACTCATGTCCCTGGATAGCAAGACTCAGTCTCACTTACAGACATCACCTGCTCTGAAATGTAATTTGAAGTCTGGACGGTGTCTTCACTCAACTGTGGCCACTCAGTACTGTCTGATCATCTAGGGGATCAGTTCCCAGCACATGGCTCACCGCTATGTGTAACTCCAGTTCCAGGAGCTCCAACCCCTCAGTCATGCATGGGCTGCATGTATTGTCTGTGTCTACAGGCAAAATACACACACACACACACACACACACACACAAAATAAATACATCAAGATCTCCTCAGGAGAGTTGCCCTGCACCCTTGACCGTGCAGTTGGCTGAGAGAACATGCAAGAACAGGAATAAGGAGAGAGAAAGGTTCAAAGAAAGAACCTTGCTCTGTGACGTTCCTTGGGGTGCCCCTGTAAGACAAGAAAGTTCAGAGGACCAGGTGTCAAGGTAGAAAATGTTGTATTGTGTTTCCTCAGAATGAGGAGGAGATTGGGGACACACCAGTAGGGATAATGCGGCATCATCATCATTACTATTGGCCGTGAAAGATACATTTTCATTTTGTATTACGTCTTTAGAGGCTTGGGTGTGAACACGACCGCCTTTATGTTTCCCCTTCTAGTTTGGGAACCCGTGTCTCTCTTACCCGCGTTGGTGGTGTGGGTTCCGTTGTCTGATTCACGCTTTGTTGGAGCCGACCCAGTGTCCCAAGCTGACCCCGTGTCCCTGTCTTCCCCCTCAGAGGCCATCGCCACGGAGAAGCAGCAGCCCTGACAAGTTTAAACGGCCCACGCCACCTCCATCTCCCAACACACAGAGCCCGGTCCAGCCGCCTCCGCCGCCGCCTCCGCCCCCCATGCAGCCTGCGGTCCCCTCGGCAGCCACCACGCAGCCCCCGCCCTCGCAGCCACCGCAGCATCCGGTGCACCCCTCCTCCCAGCCTTAATGCATGAGCCTAGTCAGAATTTCCAGTTGGGACTCGTCCGATGGAGCCGCCTTCTCAACGCCAAAGGCTTCTCTCCCGGCGTATTTTGGATCTGATGCGTTTGCACTGAGGTTATCTACCCTCCCTCCTCATCGTGTCGTGAATGTCCGTCGGAAACGCAGCCGACGTTGCGGGTCCGCAACACTAACCAGACGACTTTTCTCCACCGGTGTTTTACTTGAATCTCCGTGTCTGTCATTCCCTGGCTGGAACGTTGCTGTCTGGTATCTGGTAATGAGCAGCGGTGTGCAAACCCTAACCCCGCCCCCTCCAGGGCCCCAGGGCCCCAGGGCTGCTTTTTTTCTTGGCTTTTTAGGTTTGTAAAATAAGAAGGGAGATTTTTTTTTTTTTTTTTTTTTTTTATATATAACTATTCTCTGTGAATTTGCAGGAAAATTACCAAGCTGTTTAGAAACCCCTCCTTCTCCAGGTCAGTGACGTTTACCGAACATACCAAGAATTCAGCACTACAGTCCAGACCTTTGCAGACCAAACTCACTGTAGGATCGGAAGCTAGATGAACCGGTGCCCACAACACGTAGTCTAGAGCTTTCTACAGACACACTTTTTACAGATTTGTTTTTTTCTGATGTAAATTGACCACCGCGTCCCTTGTAAAACAGCCTACAGAAACAAATCACACAGCTGTTACCCTCCGCCACGTGCGTGGGGACGGGAATTATTGCCTATTAAGATGTGATTTTTATTTTCCTCAATGTTAATCCACCTAAGCCAGTGCCCTCTGACGTGAGTGGATAGATAGATGCCTTCCCACCGATGGTCTTGATGGCTAACCAGGACGTAGGCTTAGATCTCTGCTGCAGGGGCCGTGAGATTGTAACAGAGCCAATGCTTCCGTTCTTTTGTGTTGTCCCGAGACAGGGGGTGTGAACAAGTATCTTCCAGGTGCAAAATGCTGTCAGGAAATAACGTCTGAAGTGTAAGCAACAGACACCCTAGTGCGACGGCTGAGGAGCAAGCAAAGGGAGCTCTCCGGCCTCGACTGGTGCTCACTTTGCCTGTCATCAGCAAGGAGAGCACCTAGAAATTTCTGAATGTGATCACCATTCATTTCAGCACAAATAAACTCTTCCGTTTTCACTAGGGTGGGGGGTTGGGGTGGGGACACGGAGTGGCTCTTTTGTGACCTTTGTCTCTGTCCACTGTTTTTGTGCTTTCGTAGTTAAGTGCTTCCCCTTCCCGTGTTCGCATATTTATATATGCCGTGGATGGAAATAACTTACTAAGAGAATGTATATTTTATGATGAGAAGCGTGACTCTGTTGGATATAATCAGAGAACTGAAAAATTAATTTATCGGTAATTTTTTTTTTTAAGAGTTCACGTTTGTGACAAACCATCCCTGACATCAGCTCCTCATGGGACACACTCCCGAGCGCAAGGAATAAGACCCTGGTGACATTGTAGATAATTAATTCTGTACAGTCTAGAAACCTCCATTTTTGCCTTTAAAATGCATATTTAAGAGTTAACAGAATGGAAAAGTGTTAATCAGATAATAGTGTTTGACAGCATCTTAAGAACTTGAGAGTATGAACAACCATAGGACCTTCCACTCTTCTTGTCCACCCCGTAAACTGAGAATGCTATCCTCCAGCGACTAGGAAGAAACTGTCAGCCTATAAAAGTTTTATTTATAAGGTGTGTGTGATGTACAGGCCGTAGTGCGGTTAGCAGACACGGGATAGAGTCTGATACCTCCTGTCAAGGTGTTAGGTTTTCAGTGTCAGACTAAACCCTGGGTGTTACCAGCAGCTCCCCGACCCTCTTGGTACATGACCATTCCAGGGAAATTTTGAGGCTAGACAGAAGAATTCTTCCTTCACGGTACAGTCTTTTTTTTTTTTTTTTTTTTTTTTTCCTTTCCTTTCGAGAGAAATACGGTATGTGTTTACAAGAATCTTTTCTGGGTTTGTAGATTACAGTACTGCTGGCTAGTAGCTTTGTCCTCCAGCATTCAAGTCTGTTCTGGAAAGTTCTTCCCTCCACTATCCATCAGTTAAGTTACCTCCTAGAAGCACAAGTGTAAAAGCACCGGTGTACAGCGAGAGGAGCCTTTGAGAGGTAGGCCCTTGACATTCAGACTTGTCCTGGAAAGTGTACTCTAGGTTCCTGTAGAGCCATCGGGTCACCTCAAACCCAGCTCTTACCAACAGCGCTTCTCAGTACGGTTCAGTTACTGGTCCCTGCAGGTGTTAAAAACCAAGAGAACAAACACTAGGATCTTGAACATAGGGTGTTTTGTGTCACTTTGAAGCACGTAGCGATAGGTAAGAGAACCAGATGTTGAGCCCCTAGGGACGAGAGACCCATTACTATGGGCTGGACATGACTTCTATAGGTTCAGTTTCCTACTCTCACAGGCTAACGCTAGATTAAAATCAGTAGCCATCCTCAGCAAGTGAGAGCAACAGTACCTTCAGTGGCTTCATTTCCTGTCTTGTTGACAGAGACCCTCGGGTACCACTGTGCTGCTAATCAGGGCCAGGGTTTTGTTCCCCATGACCTTGCCTTTGTACAGAACCAAGTCCATGCACCCAGCACCCCGACACCCCAGTACCTCTGGGCTCTGAACTGCTTTCTCTCGTCAAGCATGCTGACATTCTAGACAGGATGCTCGACCTTTGGCAGACATGGAAGTGTTTAAGATTTTATTTCAATGTCTTTGTTGACTGGAAGGACTTTGAGATTCTGAGATCCCGAGACATCCACTCACGACCGTGGGATGACCAGAATGTGGATTGGTGGTTCATGCTGCTGTGCCTTTTATCATTGGCTTCTGATTCAAACCGGAAATAATTCATAATGTGAATTCGTGTTGACCCTTCGGTTGTAGGAAAACAAGTGTGTATCCCTCCCCCCGCCCCCCGTTGTTAGGTAGACATGAACCTGCTCTGTGCACAGCCCTGCTTCTAGAGATTGCCCAGGAAGACAGGAAAAAGCATGGCGGCGCGTGTTTCATAAAGTTTATTTTTTAAAACACAGAAGGAAGTTTCCTTTGTGACTTGATCTTCTGTCTAGTACTTGTCTAATAGGTTAACCAATGCTGAGAGCTTGTAGCGATGCCTACCAAAGACTTGCATAGTAAACCTTCTATTTCCAAATTATTAAAGAGTCAGCCATTGATGCTACTCCACGGTTCTTCCTCAGGAACCATCATGAGAGACTAAAAGATGCTTAGGGTTTGTTTTTTTTTTTAAGTTTTCATTTATTTCTCTCTCTCTCTCTCTCTCTCTCTCTCTCTCTCTCTCTCTCTCTCTCTAAGTTTTTGATAAAAATGTGTTAGCCTAATGTGTTGGGGAGCATCTCCCAGAATGCTCAGCAGTTGTGATCACTGGTCACACCCAGGTCACCTCTTCTGGAGTGATCAGTGGGCTCCTCTGTGCGTGCTAGCATGGGTGCTGTGTGTGTGCACGTGTGCGTGTGTGCATTCATGCCTTAAACTTGGGTCACTGCTCAGCTGTGCTGTTGGACTTGGTCCTCACCATCATCAGATTGTATTCTGCATCTTGATCTGAACTTCATTCTGGTAAACAAAACAAACAAGGTTGCAGGGAGCACAGGCTGGAATGCGTTCCTTTGGAAGAGTGTCTGCTCTGATGGACCCTGAGATGTCTCCAAGGACTTTATTTGAGACTTCTTTTGGAAAGAAAGCTGACTGTCAAGTTGGGCAGATGTCGACAAGGAAGAGGGGAGAGCCAAACGCTAGTAAGCCCTCTGCCTCTGCGTATTCGTGCGCTCCGTGTGTTGTTCCGGTAGTTCGTCTACAGCTTAACTAGCTTGGAGGTAACGGTGGCAACCCTGACATTCTCTGTTAGAGTTTAGAGAGATGTAAGACGTCCAGTTAATGTCTTATTTACTTTATGTTGATCAGTCTTTAATACATGTGCTGAATCAGAAAAACCTAAATAAAGATAATTTTTTTAAAATGCACTCCTCGAATCATCAACTCAGTCTCTTTCTTTCTGGTCTCTTGAGTTGGAAATGGTGATTGGTTGGTGCTGGTTCCAACAGACAAAACCAAAATCCCATTGCAAACTCTAAAGGCAGCTGGAGGAAGTACTTGTAAATAGGGCTAGTGTGGTTTTCTTTGTTTGTTTGTTTGTTTGTTTGTTTTTAATAAGGAGAAAAGAATTACATGTGTGGATATTTTTGTCTGCGTGTATGTCTGTGTACCACACGTGCCCATGGAAGCCAGAAGAGGGCATTGGATCCCTTTCAACTGCAGATAGAGGTCGTCGTGAGCCATCATGTGGTACTAGAAATTGAATCCAGGTCCACTGAGGCTTCCTGGTTTACTGGCTACCTACTCTGTTGTTGAACTTGTAATTGAACTGTGTTTTCAAGTTCAAACAGTAAATCAAGGGGGTTCAAAAATGGAAGCTACACCCCCCCCCAAAATGTCTCACGTGGACCCATATGCACAGGCACGTGCCATAGGACGTTTCATGGATAATGAAATCCACAAGTCACCTCGGAGGATTACAATGACCTGGACAGCAAGGCTGTCGTGAAATGCTGTATGTTGGTCATATATGTAGCCTGGTCTGGATCAGCCTATGACATCAACCCTATGTAAACATCACTCATCATTTGTATGTAGGAATTGGTAATTTTATAAATGTATTCCTACTTACTGAAAAGTTTACCCTTAGACCAGTAACATTGCCCAGTACATAAATGTATCCGCTACAGGTCAGATAACGAGTTTGAACCCTCACACCTGTGTGATGGCAGAGGGCCGACTTCTGCAGATTGGCCTCTGACCTCCACAGCCCTCAATACGCACATACACAAAATTAATGAAAGGTAATAGCAAAATTATTCTTACGACAGCTTGTATGACAGCAGCAGCTGCCTTGGTATGACTCAGGTCTGCATTGCTTCAGTAGGTCAGGAAAATAACACCTGGGGTGATCTGTGTAGGAATATTTGGAATCCGAGTCCATGTGTTGGGTGTGTGGCTGTCCTCTGCGTTTTGGTAAGGCTGAGGTTGATACTACACAGTAGTGGTATCCTTTAAGGAATGTAGTCTTCAGGAATTCCTGATAACCATTTCAGTGGGTCAAGTTCTTTAGATCTATCCCTGCCTCTCCCACCCCCAATTTTTTTTTAAATACAAGGATATGCGTTGGATCAGATAATTGACTTTTAGGCAGAGGTTAGAACAGATAGGTGGAGCCTCCGTCCCAATTGGTGATTTCAGGAAGTGGTCAGTGGTGGAAAGGAAGTCGGCACAGGGTTATCGAATTGGCTGCTCCTATGGCTGATACCCAGTGGGGATTCCCAAGGGAGAATCAAGCTTCTGGATTGCCCTACCTGCAAGAAAGGCTGCAGTGCCATTGGGTCCTTTGACCCGTTGGATAAAGACAAATCTGGGAAGAAGATTTCTCCATCCGCATCCAGGTTCTTTGTGTTGTTTCCAGAGTCCTGTGAGGTGGCAAAGCTGTGACTGTCTACCTCATGCTTTATGAGGGATTCTGGCAAATGACATGTCACCATATAAAGTCAGATAGGTTGGCGGGTAACAATCCCACCATCGATTGACTTAGCCTCAAACATTGAATTAGAAGGCAGTTTTAAATTCAAATAAGACCAAAAAAGATTCCTGTTTTGTTGTTGTTGTTTTGTTTGTTTATTTTAAGAAAAATTTACATGCTATAAGGCTGTGCAGTCATCCCGGGCCGAGGGCTTTCCCAGCCCCTCTGACCACCTCTGTAGTTGCTGAAGCATGGACCTGCAGGCTTTTGAGTTTGTGACCTACTTAGAGAGGGCACGCGATGAATACAGGAAGTCCAGCACAGCTAGTTCTTGTGTTTGCTCCCAGGAAAGAGGAACAGAAAGAGGAGCCTGGCGTGGAGAGAGGCATATACCACAAGTTCCTGAACTTGTAACAGATAATCAGAAAATTAAACGTACCCTGGGGAGGGACCTCGATAAATGAGCCTCAAGTTACAAAGTAGGACTGGTGTTCCCGAGTTCTCTTAGCTGTTTGTGTCATCTAATGTGGTTCTCAGCCTGTGGGCCTCATCCCCTTTGGAGGTCAAACAACCCTTTCACA